AGTACCCTTCCCACATCCCTCGCGGCCCCACACCTCAACACCGACCACGAGGGATGCAAGTAGGGCAGGATAAACCAGTACCCTTCCTACATCCCTCGCGGCCCCACCACCCCCTCCGGCCACGAGGGTTGCAAGGAGGGCAGGATAAACCAGTACCCTTCCCGCATCCCCCGCGGCCCCACCACAATAGGCAGCACGGTGGCGGACGATCGTCCACCTCCGGCGCCTCCACCGGTCTGGGGCCCGGCTAGCGCGCTAGACCTGTCGGGACACCATCGACTAGTCCTGCGCGCTCCACCAGGCCCCGGGTCTGGCTAGCGCGCTAGACCTATCGACACCTCGTCGACTAGTCCTGCGCGCACCGCCAGACCCTGGTGTTTGGTTCGCGGGGCTTGCGCCCTACCCCGACACGAATGCCAGGGCGTTCCCCTATCCACCACCCGGGGACGCGCCACGTCGGAGTTCACCTCTCCGCCCACCCGGACAACCGAGCAGGTCCGTGGAACCTAACCTAACCTAACCTAACCTAACCTACCCTAACCTACCTACCTACCTACCTACCTACCTATCTTCGGCCAAGGGCGGGGGGAGTGTTGTTGGCGGTATCACTGGACATCGCCAACGCTTTCAACATGATCCCCTGGACGATAATCGCGGAGGCGCTGAGGTACCACCGCGTCCCGGGGTACCTCAGGCGAGTCCTGGCGGACTACTTCGTCGACCGGGCCATCTTTTACCCGGCCCGGGACCAAGTGGTCCGCCGGGACATGACGTGCGGTGTTCCACAGGGGGGGGGGGGGTCGGTCCTCGGGCCGCTTCTGTGGGACATCGGATACGATTGGGTCCTGCGCGGTGCCAATCTCCGGGTGTCGGCGTACTTTGTTACGCCGACGACACCCTGGTCACCGCGTCGGGCCCAACGTTCCGGGACGCGGGCGTGCTCGCCACTGCGGGCACGGCCCACGTGGTACGCCGAATCAGTGCTCTGGGCCTGAGCGTGGCCCTGGAGAAGTCCGAGGCCATGTTCTTTCATGGGCCTCGGACTAAGCCCCCCGCGGATACTCCATCGCGGTGAGCGGCACCCCCATTGCTGTCGGGGGGACCATGAAATGTCTTGGTCTCGTCCTCGACAGCAAATGGGGGGTTCGGTGAGCATTTCCGGATACTGGCACCAAAGCTGGTGCAGTATGCGGGAATGTTCGCCAGGCTGCTCCCCAACTGCGGGGGGGGTGGGCGGGCGGTGTGTGCCGCCGCCTGTACGATGGTGTGGTACGCTCTAAGGCGCTCTACGGAGCGCCCATATGGGCGGCAAGGCCCCTGAGCCAAAGCAACATGGTTCTGCTGAGACGTGCGCAGCGGACCATGGCTCAGAGGGCCTCCAGAGCGTACCGCACCGTGTCGTACGAGGCGGCGTGCCTTATCTCCGGTAGCCTCCCCTGGGACCTCGAAGCCGGGGTCCTAGCGGAGGTTTACCGGAGAAGAGCCCTGATGCGGCAGCGAGGTGAGGAGCCCCTGCCGGAAGAGATCGTACGCTGGAGGAAGGAAGGTCGCGACGATCTCTTCCGGCGATGGCAAGAGAGGTTGGCGGACGCCTCGGTGAGCAGATGGCAGATGGCTCATCGAGGCCGTCCGCCCCGTCCTGCGCCAGTGGGTGGAGGCGAGGCACCGGGAACCGACTTACTTCCTGACGCAGCTTCTCACAGGGCACGGCTGTTTCAGCCGTTACCTGTGTGAAGTTGTGGGGATTGAGTCGGGTCCCGAGTGCCACCATTGCGCGTCCGGCGACTTGGACACGGCAGAGCACACGCTCGCCGTGTGCACGGGCTGGGACGCGCAACGCGCCACGCTCACTGGCGCAATAGGGCGAGATCTGTCGCTGCCGGCCGTCATACGTGCGATGGTCGGCAGCGAACATAGTTGGGCCGCCGTCGCCTCCTTCGCACGCGAGGTGATGGCGGTCAAAAGAGAGGGGCCCTGCGGGAGCGCGAACGCGCCAACGAGACGCTGCCGCCCCGCAGGGCTCCAGCGAGGGGCCGCCGGCGCGCGAGGTACGCGGCGACCCTACAACCAAATTGAAGAGTGCCACGCGCGACGGGTCGGGGGACCTGTCGCGCCGATTGTGGCGGGTGGCCCTCCTCTCGTGTTCTGAGGAGGGTTTCATCATAGGGTGATGGGAGGGGTCTAAGATATGACCCCTCCCTACACGAGTCGAGCCCTTACCAAGGGGCTCCCTCCTAGCCGGGCCGTGGATAAACTAACGTAGATGCCACGGTCCGGTTGGGCGTAAGAGAACACCGCGGGGTTTAGTGGGTAGTCCGGTCTTGTTCCCAGGCCGGGAGTCCCACACGAAACCGTCCCTGCTGCCCCCGCAGCACGGACATAACGCATTCCCCGCGTTAACAAAAAAAAAAAAAAAAAAACTCACTTTCTTTTCCTAAAGTCATGTATAATATAATATAGCTCGCAAGGTACGTCCTAGAACAGCAACGCACCCTAGCGACAAAATTCCAAACAACTAGGCGCCAAACTGTCACCGCTGACGCCACTCTCCGATAGATGGTTCTGTGAGTAACCACGCTTAGTCCAATATTCAATTTGTCATTACTAATATTCTCTCGCAAATTTCGGTTAACCTAAAACTGCGGTTTGACATCCATATAGACAACAAATACGCCTAACAATATTGTGTATCGTTTCATCTCAGTTAATAAAGTTAAGAAATCTCGCGAATGCTTTGCAACCCAAAAGACAGATGGCGTTAGATGTTATGTGATGATTTGGTATGATGTTATAGACCTGCATAATTTATAATTTTATTTCATCTTTTTTTTTTTTACTTTTTTTTCAAATCGCTTAGAAATACTGCTTTCTGGACCTGGACCTTGCGAACAATTTGTACTTTAACTTACCGAGTAAGGACATGTTATAAAAATTGTGGAACATGATAACATACTCCCACCCGGGAGGGTGTACTTTCGGGTAGAAAATATATATATATATATATATATATATATATATATATTATAACCGCAAGTTCTCATTTTTATACTGATACATTATGATTAATGTAACAAACATCTAACGCCATCTGTGTTCTGAGTTGCAATGCATTTGCGCGAATTGCTAACTTAACTGATTTAGGATAAAACGATATTGAAAAATCACAAAAACCATCTGTCGGAGAGTGGCGTCAACAGGGACATTTTTCACGCTAAGTTAGTGGTTGTTTTGTCTTGAGGGTGCGCTGTTTTACGGCGTCAATATAATAAAGTTAAGGTTGCTAAAGCGTTGTGATAGAAATTTAAATAAATAGTATAAATGGTAAAAATAAAATGGGTATTATATTTAGAGGGCGCGTATGAGGTTAATCATTTGAATAAATTTGATGAATTGTAAGTCTCTACCTCCATTTGTCGACTACTTAACCGTTTGGTTTCCCTTGTTGACCACAGGGGGCCGCGCTACATCAGGGGACGATGGATTTCATTGCGCGATATAAGTTTCAACCGAATAAGAATTTGCGGCAGCAAGTAATAGAATATTACAACAAAACATGTTGAACTACTAAAACATTAACAAAGACCTTAATAAGTTGCAAGTTACTGAATGTAAAAAAAAAAAAAAA